TAGTTTTTTCATTTTTATTAAAAAAAAATTAATAGAGGCCGGGCACAGTCGCTCATGCCTGTAATCCCAGCACTTCGGGAGGCCGAGGCAGGCAGATCTCCTGAGGTCAGCAGTTCAAGACCAGCCTGGCCAACATGGGAAAACCCTGTCTCTACTAAAAATACAAAAATTAGCTGGGTGTGGTGAAGCATGCCTATAATCCCAGCTACTCGGGAGGCTGAGGCAGGAGAATTGCTTGAACCTGGGAGGCTGAGGTCGCAGTAAGCCAAGATCGCGCCACTGCACTCCAGCCTGGGTGACCGAGTGAGACTGTCTCAAAATAATAATAATAATAATAATAATAATAATAATAGAGATTGGGTCCCATTATGTTGCCTAGACTGGTCTCAAACTTCTGGGCTCAAGCAATCCTTCCCTCTCAGTCTCCCAAAAAATGCTGGGATTACATGAGTCACCATGCCTGGTCACCTTCTTCATTTATAAAATGTAGATTACAACTAGTTCCTACCTCATTGAGCTTTTAGGAGCATACACTGTATAAAGTGCTCACCTCAATGGCATCATTAGACCTGTTAACAGTAGTATTCAATCATTTGATCACATCATCTTCACAACACAAGTGGGTGGATCGCCTGAGGTCAGGAGTTCAAGACCAGCCTGACTAACATGGTGAAAACCTGTCTCTACTAAAAATACAAAAATTAGCTGGGCGTGGTGGTGGGTACCTGTAATCCCAGCTACTTGGGAGGCTGAGGCAGGAGAATCACTTGAACCTGGGAGGTGGAGGTTGCAGTGAGCCGAGATTGCTTGTCACTCCAGCCTGGGTGACAAGAGCAAAATTCGGTCTCAAAATAAATAAATAAATAAAATTAGCTCAGTGTGGTGGCACGCGCTTATAGTTTCAGCTACTGGAAAGGCTAAGGCAGGAGAATTGCTTGAACCCAGGAGGCAGAGGTTGAGGTGAGCTGGGATTGTGCCATTGCACTCCAGCCTGGGCAACAAGAGCGAAACTCCATCTAAAACAAACAAACAAAACAACACCAAATATCTGTTTGAGTACTTGCCTTCTATTCTTTTGGGTATATACTCAGAAGTGGAAGTGCTGGATCATATGGTAATTCTGTTTAATTTTTTTGAGGAAATGGCATACTGTGTTCCATACCAGTTGCACCATTTTGCATTCCCAGTGACTTAGGTCTTTTTTTTTTTTTTTTTTTTTTTTGAGACGGAGTCTTGCTCTGTCGCCCAGGCTGGAGTGCAGTGGCCGGATCTCAGCTCACTGCAAGCTCTGCCTCCCAGGTTCACGCCATTCTCCTGCCTCAGCCTCCCGAGTAGCTGGCACTACAGGCACCTGCCACCTCAGCTGGCTAGTTTTTTGTATTTTTTTAGTAGAGACGGGGTTTCACTATGTTAGCCAGGATGGTCTCGATCTCCTGACCTCGTGATCCACCCATTTCAGCCTCCCAAAGTGTTGGGATTACAGGCTTGAGCCACCGCGCCCGGCCGACTTATGTCTTTTAAAAGATTATTTTCAGGCAAATGAAGACTAGACTTAAGGAAGGCCAAGAGTGGATGCAGAAATATTTGTTAAGAGGCTCTTTTTTTTTTTTTTTTTTTTTTGAGACGGAGTCTCGCTCTGTCGCCTGGGCTGGAGTGCAGTGGCCGGATCTCAGCTTTTACGCCATTCTCCTGCCTCAGCCTCCCGAGTAGCTGGGACTACAGGCACCCGCCACCTCACCCGGCTAGTTTTTTTGTATTTGTTAGTAGAGACGGGGTTTCACCGTGTTAGCCAGGATGGTCTCGATCTCCTGACCTCGTGATCCACCCGTCTCGGCCTCCCAAAGTGCTGGGATTACAGGCTTGAGCCACCGCGCCCGGCCAAGAGGCTCTTGTAATTAACCATGAGATTGATTATGGTAGCTTGTATCTACATAGTAACAGTGGAGGTGGTGAGAAGTCACTAGATTGTGGTTTTGTTTGAAAGGCAGAGCCAACTGGATTTGCTGATAGGATTAGTTTGGGATATGAAAGAGAGAAAGCAAGGATGACTCCTAGGTTTTTGGCTTGAGCAACTGGAATAATGAGGTTTCCATTTACAAATGTGGGAAAGTTTGCAGGAAGATGAGGTGGATAAATCAGGAGTTTGTTTTGGGACATGTTAAATATAATACACCTATTACACATCCAAATAGACAAAATGAGCCTGATGTTCAGAGAAAATGTATCGGTTGGAGAGAAAATTTGAGAGCTATCAGCATATACGTGGCATTTAAAAGTATGAGATTTATAAGATGGCTCACGCCTGTAATCTCAGCACTTTGGGAGGCCAAGCTGGGCAGATCACTAGAGACCAGGAGTTCAAGACCAGCCTGGGCAACATAGTGAGGCATTGCTAAAGAAAAATTAAAAGTAAGGCAACACAGGGAGACTTCATCTCTATTTAAGAAAATGATAATAATAGCTGGGCTTGATGGTGCATGCCTGTAGTCCCAGCTACTCAGGAGACTGAGGCAGGAGGATTGCTTGAGTCCAGGAAGTCAAGGCTGCAGTGAGCCATGATCGTGCCACTGCACTCCAGCCTGGGCAACTGACATGGTTTAGCTCTGTGTTCCCACCCAAATCTCATCTTGTAGCTCCCATAATTCCCACGTGTTACGGAAGGGACCCAGTGAGAGATGATTGAATCATGGTAGGGACGGGTCTTTCCCATACTGTTCTTGTAATAGTGGATGGTTCTCACGAGATCTGATGGTTTTAAAATCAGGAGTTTCCCTGCACAAGTTCTCTTCTCTTGTCTGCCACCATGTGAGACATGCCTTTTACCTTCCTCCATGATTGTGAGGTCTCCCTGGCCACGTGGAACCACGAGTCCAGGAAAACTTTTGTAAATTGCCCAGTCTCAGGTATATCTTTATCAGCAGTGTGAAAACAGACTAATATGGCAACAGAGTAAGATCCTGTCTTAAAAATAAAATAAAATGGGCCAGGCGCAGTGGCTCTTGCACTCCACTGTACTCCCAGCACTGTGGGAGGCTGAGGGAGGTGGATCACCTGAGGCTAGGAGTTCAAGACCAGCCTGGCCAACATGGTGAAACCCTGTCTCTACTAAAAATACAAAATTAGCCGGGCGTGGTGGTGGGCACCTGTAATCCCAGCTACTTGGGAGGCTGAGGCAGGAGAATCGCTTGAACCCAGGAGGCAGAGGTTGCAGTGAGCCAAGATTGTGCCACTGCAGTCCAGCCTGGGCAATAGAGTGAGACTCCATCTCAACAAAAATAAATAAATAAAATAATGAGACTTTATGAGAACATCTGGGGAATGACTAAAACATCAAAAAGGAGGACACCAAGGGCTGAGCCCTCTCCCAGGGAATGTCCCATTCCAGCAACAAGAAGGTGGTGAGAAAACAGCAAAGAATACTGAGGAGATGCCAATGAATGGGGAAGAAAGTCAAGAGGGAATGATGTCCTGGAAGCCAAATGAAGAAAGTGGTCAACTGTGTCAAATAAGATGTGGATGTAAAATAAGAACTGAAAATTGGCCACTCCTCTTGGTGACCTTAAGAAAGTTATGTCAAGCTGGGCGCAGTGCTTCATGCCTATAATCCCAGCACTTTGGGAGGCCGAGGCAGGCATACCACCTGAAGTCAGGAGTTCGAGACTAGCCAGCCAACATGGTGAAACCCCATCTCTACTAAAAATACAAAAATTAGTCGGGCGTGGTGGTGGGCCCCTATAATCCCAGCTACTTGGGAGGCTGAGGCAGGAGAATCGCTTGAACCCGGGAGGCAGAGGTTGCAGTGAGCTGAGATCACACCACTACACTCCAGCCCCGGTGACAGAGCAAGACTCTGACTTAAAATAAAGTAAAATAAAATGAAACGAAATAAAATAAAATAAAATAGATATGTCTGTCTTCCACAGGGAGGACGTGGGATGGCGGTGGAGCTGGCTGAAGCAGAGCTACCAAATAAATAAATATAAAATAAATAAAATAAAAGAAACAAATAAATAAAAGAAAGTTATTTCAAAGGATTGTCTGAGAGGTAAAATCCTAACTGCAGTGAGTTCAAGAGAGAATGGGAGGAGAGGGGAGTTGGAGACTATGAGTAGGCAACGCTTTTGCTGTAAAGGGGAGTAGGGAAACCGTGAGGGATCTAGAGAGGGCTGGTTTTTGTTTGCCTTTGAGATGGGAGAAACAGCAGTACAGATGATGACAAGGATAATGCAGTCATCAGAGGGAAATGAGATGAAGGGGGGATTACTAGATCTATGTCCTTAAGCAAACAAGAGGCGACGGGATCTACCGCACATGTGGAGGGGTTGACCTTAGCTAAGGTCCAAAGTATGTGGGCTGTGGACTCTCCGTTCCAAACGCAGTGGAACTCAATGCAGGCTGTCTCTGGATTTCTCCAGACCACCTCCAACTGGCATTGTTCTGAGCCGGGCCACCGAAAGTTGGATTACTGAGTGTGTGTCTGTCTCCCATTAACCCGGGAGCCCTCCAAAGGTTGCATCTAAGTCGCCTCTGAATTCTTCACATTCCTCCAAACTCTGGGCCAGAGCCCCGCAGTATGGGCTTATTGAATTAGCCTGAAGAGACACAAAGCAGCCTCGACGCAGCTGGTTTCACAAAGGGGGGCGGTGCTAACCCTGCGCTCTGGGATCCTGACGTTCGAGCTATCTCTCCTCCTCCCCTCTGCTCCCAGCTCTCCGCCGTCCAGCTGGTCGGCTGATCATCGTCCATAGAGGCCACCGTACCGGAGCGGACAGCGACAGAATCAAGTTTGGTGGAGGTGGAGCCTGAGGACAGCACTGAATGACGATTGAACTGAGAGTTCAGGGGCGGAGTTTGAGGCAGAACTCGGGACAGAGACTGGACAGAGACTGGAGAGTTAAGGGAGGCGGGACCTAATGATGGAGCAGGGAAGGGATTGGGCTGAGGGCGGTGCCGGCGCAAGGATTGGGCCGAGCGCCTCGGGGCGGTCCTTGAGGGGGCGGTGCCGTGTCGGAAGTCAAAGGTCAGTAAATAGTGGTGATGTCATGCAGGCAAGATGGCGGAAGGGTGAGCCCGTCGTTTTGCTCCTAGGCGTTGGGGCCTGAATTCTCCCAGGGTTGGGGTGCTGGGCAAGAGTCCCGGTGGGGAACATGAGATCAGCGCGGGCGTGGACTGATCTGAAAGGGCAGAGTGGAGTCGCACTCTGAGGGGGTGGGGAAGCGGTCTGCGAAGCCTCGGCCCGCGGGGTACATTTGAGGGGGAAACAGACCGGATCCTTGGGCGGGCAGGAATCGCACCGCGGTACTGCCAGATGTGTCTCTCTTCCACAGGGAGGACGTGGGATGGTGGCGGAGCTGGCTGCAGCAGAGCTACCAAGCAGTCAAAGAGAAGGTAAGCCGGGCCCGTGCCTTTCTTCCCTCACCAGGGCCCTGCGCCGCCTCAGTGCAACCTGGTCCAACCAGCCCCGCCCAACTTTTGCGGGCGTTAAGTCTTAAGGATGAGGCTGACCCGGGCCTTTCTTTTAGCCTCTACCGGTCCACGGCAAGACAGACCTCGACGCAAACCAGTGTGATACTACCCACAGTGAAATAAAGATGGTTTTAAAGGCTGGAGTTAACGAACGTTTTGTAGGAATCCATAGGAAGGAGCAATTTATTTCAGTTCAGGAAATTCAGTTTCTTCGTGAAAGAGAGAACATTTGATATAGGTCTTGAAGGAAAAGATTCTAGCAATAAAAAAAACTTACTCGTATACTCATTCAAGTATTAGAGTATATGCGACAACCAGCGCTCTAATAGGTCTTGAGGATACAGACTTCAGCCAGACACATGTAATCCTGGGCCTTACAAAGCTCACAGTCTAGTGGGGAGACAGCCATTAACCGAGTAGCCAAACAGTTGTTTAGTTACCGTTGTGGTAAGTTCTGTGAAAGGAAAGTACTGAGGCTCCTTGTCTATTCTCGGTAGTCAGTAACTCACCAGAGAAGGCCTTTTGGAGAAGGAACCTTATTAAGGCCAACCCTGCCTAGACAGGATGAAAAGCAAGAACCCAAGCCAGAGATGAGCATGAGCCATACACACTGGTACCTGATGAGTTCTAAGTAAGGGCTATGCAACAGGCGATAGAGAGAGAGATTAGTCACCAGAGAGTGGAAGGCCTTCTTGCTGAACAATCTCTGTGGGATGAGTGATATTTGGCTGTGCCAGTGGGTAATTTGCCAATGTGTATTCCTGTTTCATTTCATGCTTATTTGTCAAAATCAGCCCAACTGAATTGTGGGAAAAGTTGATTACTGTTTACCTCAAGCAATTGGGGTAAGTCCTGCCTCAGGGCCAACTCCAGGAAGCTTCTGACCTCACCTAAATAAGTCCCCTACTCTGGGAGTATTTTTGTTTTGTTTTGAGACAGAGTCTTACTCTCGCCTAGGCTGGAGTGCACAGGTACGGTCTCAGCTCACTGCAACCTCTGTCTCCCAGGTTCAAGCGATTCTTGTGCCTCAGCCTCCCAAGTAGCTGGGATCAGAGGCGTGTGCCACTACTCCTGGCTAATTTTTGTATTTTTAGTAGAGACAGGGTTTCACCATGTTGGCCAGGCTGGTCTGGAACTCCTCACCTCAGGTGATCCACCCACCTCAGCCTCCCACAGTGCTGGGATTACAGGCGTGAGCTACCACACCCGGACATCTGGGAGTGTTTTTGTTCCTCCCCTATCCTGGTTACTCCTGGACAGCCTCTCAGCAATAGCCCAGGAAATCTGAGAATGCCCTGAGCTGTTTATGTTGTTGATGAGGACTAAGAGAGAAGACTGCACCCTAACATTTGATAGAAAAGACCAGAAAGTAGCATGTTTCCTGTTGGGTAATTTCCTGGCAGGAAAGTCTGACATTCATTCAGCAGATGTTGCATGAGGGCCTCTTGTGTTTCTCTCAAGATTGGTCTTACCACAACTTGTGAAAGATAGATAGTTGGCCAACCTTCCGTCTTCCTTCTTTGAATTCCCAGTTAAAAGCTGGGGGGGGGGGGTGGAGGTGGGAGTCTTTTTGGAAAGAAAAGACTTAATTTCCCTTTTTTTTTACTTTCTTACTTACTCTTATATGTACTTGGGCAAGTGTTGTTTGTTTTTTGTTTGTTTGTTTGCTTTTGAGTCTGGCTCTGTTACCCAGGCTGGAGTGCAGTGGTTCAATCTCGGCTCTGCAACTTCTGCCTCCCAAGTTCAAGTGATTCTCCTGCCTCGGCCTCTTGAGTAGCTGGGATTATAGGCGTGCGCCACCATGCCCAGCTAATTTTTGTATTTTCAGTAGAGACAGGGTTTCACCACGTTGGCCAGGCTGGTCTCCAGCTCCTGACCTCAGGTGATCCGCCTGCCTCGGCCTCCCAAAGTGCTAGGATTACAGGCGTGAGCCACCACACCTGGCCTCTTGGGGAAGTTTTTAACCTCTCTAGGCCTCAGTTCCTCATCTGTATAATGGGAATACTAACAATACCTACCTGATGAGATTGTGGTGATGGTTAAATGTAAAACACTAAAAACAGTACCTAGCATATAGTAAGTGCCGTATAAGTGTTAGCTGTTATTAGGTGCCAGGCTGATGGGAAAACCTCTTAGATACCACCCCCAGTTCGTTTTTCCTTCCATTTTTTTTCTTGGTCTTTTGGTGCTTTCCTATATTTATGTCCCATTCTGGCTCCATTTGGACCACTCACTTCTCAACACTCCTTAGAATACATTGCCCTGAAGACTACAGCTATGAGATGGTGCTGTCATCTGCTTTCCTCTGCTCCTTACCTCCTCCTGTCCTGTCTTCCTGTGTGTTGTCAAGAGCAATATGACTGACACAAATACTTGTGCATACACGTTGATAGAGAAAGACACATCGTTGCTCTGCATACTTACCAGAAAGAAAAAAATTAAAAAGAGAAAGGCACCAAATGCTTTTTGGTTCCATCACGGATTCGCCAACCTCATCTGGGCCCACATACTCTTCAGTCTCCAATTTGCTTTTCTTCCCCTTAACTTCAGAAACTTTCCCAAAACCTAACTCTTCCCTCGGGTCCCCTATTCAGCCACTTTATCCCTTTCACTTCCAGGAGACAACCTCATCTACTTTTTGAAACTTCAGGTCAACAAACAGGATCTTTAACTCCCTCCCCGCCCTCAGAGCCACCACCTATAAGCTTATCTTTACTCACACTCAGCTTCACCTACCGCTTGCCAAATCCAGTGGGTGGTTTTCAGCCCTTATCTTCCTGGACCTTTCTGCTGCATTTGACACTAGTGATCACTCCCTCTCTTGAAACACTACTCTCTTGGATTTTGTGACATGATTCTTAAGTCTCCACATCTCCAGATGTTGCTTTTGTAACTGTTTCATGAGTTCCTCTTCCTCTGCTTGCCCTCTACAGGTGGTGTCTGAGGACACTTATCCTCAGCCCGTTGCTCTGTCCACTTTCCAAACTCTTCCTGGGTCACCTTCTCCACTTTTCTGTTAGGGCGACTCTTAGACCTTTTCCCTGAACTTTAATGTTGTGTTTTGTTTTGTTTTGAGACGGGCCCTCGCTTTGTCACCCAAGCTGAAGTGCTGTGATGCAAACATGGTTCTCTGTAACCTCCACTTCCTGGATTCAAGCAATCCTCCCGCCTCAGGCCCCCAGGTAGCTGGGACTATAGGCGTGTACCACCACGCCCAACTAATTTTTGTATTTTTTTGTAGAGATAAGATATCGCCATGTTACCCAGGCTGGTCTAAAACTCCTGGGCTCAAGCAATCTGCCCACCTTGGTCTCCCAAAGTGCTGGGACTATAGGCACGAGCCATCATGCCCGGCCAGCTTTAGTGTTTGAGGATGGCTATTGCTGGACAGCTATCCTAGACAGCCCACAGTTATCTCAAGTTCTGCGTGCCCAAAGTCATTGTTACCACCTTCTCTCTAGAACTGCTCCTCCTCCAGGATTTTCTCACTTCGCTGGTAGTACTGCATCTACCCAGTCACCTATTTTAGCAGCCTATGGCACTTCCATGATTCTTTTCTAGCCCTCAGTCAGTATACCTGTTCAGTCACCAAATCCACGTTCTTCTGCCTCCTATCTCTTGAACCAGTCTCATCCTCTCTGTCTTTACTAGCATTGTCCTTACTCATATTTTTCTCTTTTCTTTCCTGGATTATTGCAGCAGCCTCCTGACTGGTCTTCCTTCCTCTTCTAATCTTCTCACCTCTGGACCTTTGCTCCATTCCAGTCACTGGAGTAATTTAGTGAAAAGGCAAATCTCATATCCCACCCACTTCAAACCTTTGGTGGCTCCTTATCATCCTAGGGCTGACCAGGCCCTCCCTGGTTGCCCTTGGCAACCTCTCCAGCTTTATCCCTCACCACTCTTGCTTCACATTTTATGTCCGTCAGGACTATAATGCTTGTAGATGTCAGTAAACCCCATGTCAACACTTCTTAGCTGACTCCTGTTCCTTTTGTTTTTTTTTGAGACAAGGTCTCACTCTGTTACCCAGGCTGGAGTGCAGTGGCGTGATCACAGCCCACCACTGCAGCCTCAACCACCCGGGCTCGGGTGATTCTCCCACCTAAGCCTCCTGGGTAGCTGGAACTACAGGTGCGTGCCACCACCCCTGGCTAATTTTTTGTATATATATATTGTGGAGATAGTTTTGCCATGGTGCCCAAACTGGTCTCAAATTCCTGGGCTCAAGCAATCTTCCTGCCTCGTCTTCCCAAAGTGCTGGGATTACAGGCGTCAGCCACCACACCTGGCCCACATCAATACTTCTTAATCAACTCCTGTTCATTCTTTAAGGGCCCATTTCAGGCCTCCGGTCACCACATCTTCCCAACCTCCCCATAGTACAGCGGCTACTGCTCTGCCCTTGCACATCAGCACTATCGTGGGACTATTTTCCCCAGTATACTGTGACCTGCTTGAGGGCAACATCTGTTCATGTTTGCTCAGAGCTCACAATTAGTGGGAAGACAACCATTTAGTCACACAAGTGGTTACATAACTGAAATTTCAATGGTCCTTGTAAATTTAACAAGCAGACTTTTTTGAGCACCTACTGTATGCTCTATGTCAGATACTGGGGAACCATCAGGGAACAAAACACATAGGACCTGTATTCACAGAACTCACAGTTTATCCAGGAAGACAGACATTGAACAGGTCATCATAAGTCTAAAGTATGTTCTATGTTAAAGAAGAGATAAATTGGGAGGCCGAGGTGGGCGAATCACAAGGTCGGGAGATCGAGACCATCCTGGCTAACATGGTGAAACCCAATCTCTACTAAAAATACAAAAAATTAGCCGGGCACATCAGCACTATTATGGGACCATTTTGAGTGCTCCTGTGGTTTTTTCTTCTGGGAAGGGCCTGCCCACTTTTCATTAGCTTGGGAAGTTTCTGAATGGGACAGTCTCACATATCAGCTACAGGCTTCTCTGGGGGGTGGTAATCATGCCTCCCCGAGGTGGCAAGCGCCTGTAGTCCCAGCACTTGGGGGCTGAGGCAGGAGAATGGCTTGAACCCAGGAGGCAGAGGTTGCAGTGAGCCGAGATCGCACCACTGCACTCCAGCCTGGGTAACAGAGGGAAACTCTGTCTCCAAAAAAAAAAAAAAGAAGAGATAAAGCAGGGAAAGCCAGCTGAGTCTGAAGAGGCAGCAGGGAAGCCCCTCTAGGGAAATGGAGCATAGACTTTAAGGATGAGCAGTAGTTTTCCAGATAAGAGGGTTCCTTCATTGTGTTTGCAGCTTGCTTGTTTTGAAGAGTTAGAACTCTGTATCAGGGAGAGGAAACAATGTGTTCAGATACCCTGAGGCAGGGCAGATGCTAGGGCATTTTAGAAACTTGAGGAAGGCCAGCTGGAGCTCAGTGAAGGGCACGGTGGTAGGGGATACCAATCAGCCAGAGGCCAAGTTATATAGGCCTTGTAAGTAAACGTGGATTTTCAACTTGCTCTTATGATAGTGTGTAAACTTAAAGAGTGTAAAGCAGCAGGGTCTGCCCTAACAGACAAAGCACCCACTGGGTGTCAAAAGGAGAATGAAGTAAAGGTAGCTGAGACAACCTGGGAGGAATCCAGATAAAAGAACAAGTTGGCCTGGACTAAGGTGGTGGCAGTGTGGGTAGAAAGAGTGAATCGGTAAATGACCTGGGGCACAATTTCATGGTGCCGTGAAATATTTTTTTAAATTTTAATAAAAGTAAATAAGTAAATTACCCCCTCCACCCCCAATTAAGGAGTCCTAAATCAATATGGAGGCATGATTACCACCCCCAGAGAAGCCTGTAGCTGATACGTGAGACTGTCCCATTCAGAAACTTCCCAAGCTAATGAAAAGTGGGCAGGCCCTTCCCAGAAGAATAAACCACAGGAGCACTCAAAAACATGCTTTTAAAAATGCAGGTGATTATCCCCGTGTAAAATGACAGGGCTTGCAGGGGGAGTGGCCACTGAGATACTCCAGGAAGGCATCCTAGAGTTGGTGAGTGAAGCAAGACAGGGCAAGACCTAGAAGTGAGCTGAGGGCCTGCTTTCTCCAGTGAGGTCTGGGTGCAGACGGAGAAGCAGATTGGTTTAGCAGGAGCAAATATGAGTTCTGCCTGAAGGAGCTTTGTATATGAATAGAACCTTGGGATGGTAGAACCCAGAAGGCCTTCAAGATAATCTGATCCAGTTGTTATCTTGACCGCTTCCTCCTTTGTTGAATGTAAAAATCACATGCCTTTTTACTGATACTAAATTGTTAAGAATTACTCATAAAACAGCTTTCCAAGCTATTGCTGTTACTAATACAATTAGTAATTACTAATTCTTAAACCTGAAGGCAAATAACTTCACCTACTGCCTCATATTTCAACTTAATTTCCCTGTAACAAAAAAAGTAAAAATAGAAACACTTTCCTTTGATAAAAAAATCACATGCCTTAGGCTGGGTGGCTCACGACTATAATCCCAACACTTTGGGAGGCCAAGGTGGGCAGATCACCTGAGGTTGGGAGTTCGAGACCAGCCTGACCAACATGGAGAAACCCCATCTCTACTAAAAATACAAAATTATCTGGGCGTGGTGGCGCTGCCTGTAATCTTAGCTACTCGGAGGCTGAGGCAGAAGAATTGCTTGAACCCGGGAGGTGGAGGTTGCGATGAGCCGAGATGGTGCCATTGCACTCCAGCCTGGGCAACAGGAGGGAAACTCCGTCTCAAGGGGGAAAAAAAAAGTCATGTACCTTTTTTTCATGTTATTTGAAACTTAATATGAATATCATGATTTAAAGCATATCAAAGCAATTAATCAAAGCCAGTATTGTTTTCAGACTGACTGTGCCCCCTCTTTTCCAGTTTGTGCTTGAGAATCTCTGGTCTAGATCGCCTCCCTCATTTTATAGGAGAAAACTGAGGACTAGATGAGACTTACTCATGGCCACATAGCTTGTGAGTGCCTAGGCTGAGACTCAGTCTTCATGCTCAGAGTAGCAGGAAATTCTCCTACACTCTCTGCTGTCAGGTAATCCCAGATCATGGAATTGGGACAAATGAGCTTTGTTTCTGAGCCCAAGCTCCCCTGCCATTTGAGATTTCCATGTGTCTGTCTGGTACTGAAGAAGCACAGGGAACAGGAACAAGGGGTGGTGGGGCCAGCTGGCCCTGGCATCCCTCTCTGTCTTCCCACAGTCCTCTGAAGCCTTGGAGTTCATGAAGCGGGACCTGACAGAGTTTACCCAGGTGGTGCAGCATGACACGGCCTGTACCATCGCAGCCACGGCCAGCGTGGTCAAGGAGAAGCTGGCTGTGAGTACCACCCAAATGCTCCCAAGTAACTGCCCCTCGCAACCTGCCCTGTCCTGGGTTCCCAACCGTTAAGTGATTATTTTTTTCTACCGTTAAGTGATTATTTTTCCTCCCATTTTGAAAGAATTGTGTCTGGCAACCAAACAAGCTGCATATTTTAAGTAATAATTAGTTTTCCCACTTCTGTATTGTTTTAGCAAATGCTTTCCATTAGCAAAGTCATTCATGTTGACAATTTAGAAAATACAGGCAAGTAAAAGAGAAAGAATGAAGAAAGGAAGAAAGCAAGAGAAAGACCTAGAGACATCCATAACTCCATCTCCCAAAGATAACTACTGTTAATATTTTGGGGGTGTATCCCTGATGTAGACTTCTTTTTCAAAACAGGGGTCAACTGAATACCATGTTTTGTAACCTTTTTTTTTTTTTTTGAGACAGAGTCTCCATTTGGCGCCCAGGCTGGAGTGCAGTGGCACCATCTTGGCTCACTGCAAGCTTCGCCTCCTGGGTTCACGCTATTCTCCTGCCTCAGCCTCCCAAGTAGCTGGGACTACAGGTGCCTGCCACAACGCCCGGCTAATTTTTTGTATTTTTTAGTAGAGACAGGGTTTCACCATGTTAGCCAGGATGGTCTCGATCTCCTGACCTCGTGATCCGCCTGCCTCGGCCTCCCAAAGTGCTGGGATTACAGGCATGAGCAATAGCACCCGGCCCCTGTTTTTTTACTTAAATTGCAAACCTTGTTCTAGAGTGTAATAAGTGGCATGGTATTCCACTATGTGGATTTAACCAGTTGCTGCTTTCCTATTTCAGTTTTTTCCAGTATTGTACACAGAGCTACAGTAAACATTCTGCTAAACCTTTGCCCAGTGCCATAATATTTGCTTTATAATATAATTGTGGAAGGTATCACAGAGTGATTAGTTTAAGCCTTTTACTATACTCAAAACTGCCCTCCAGAAATGTTGTACCAACTTATTTTCTTACTGGTCCTGTTTTTTGTTGGTGGTTGCTGTTGTTTTGAGATGGAGTCTCACTCTGTCACCCAGGCTGGAGTGCAGTGGCATGATCTCAGCTCACTGCAACCTTTGCCTCCCCGGCTCAAGTGATCCTCCTACCTCAGCCTCCTGAATAGCTGGGACCACAGGTGCATGCCACCACACCCAGCTCATTTTTGTATTTTTTGTAGAGACAGGGTTTCACTCTGTTGCCCAGGCTGGTCTCAAACTCCTAAGCTTAAGCGATCCACCTGCTTTGGCCTCCTGAAGTGCTGGGATTACAGGTGTGAGGCACCGTGCCTGGCTTGTTTGTTGTTTTCTGGTTTTAGATTCAGGGGATACGTGCACAGGTTTGTTACATGGGAATATTGTGTATATACTGAGGTTTGGGCTTTTAATGAACCCATCACCAGCTAGTACCCCATAGGTAGTTTTTCAATCCTTGTCCCCCTCCCCCAATACTGTTTTTATTAATCAGAAATGTACAGTGGAAACCTCTTACAAGATGGAGGTTAGATTCTAAAGTCAGTGTGAGAAGGAAAAATTGTGGTCAAAGATATCCCTGCAAAGTTCTGAAGTTTCCAGTGAGGTAAAGCATACTGTTTTTTATATTACAATTTTCCCTTTAGCATTGGAACAAATTGCAGCTTCTTAATTTGATCACCAGCTGAATCAATTATCTTGTAATTAATTACTCATGTTATGAAAAATGAGTTTTGGAATTTTTTAGTCAAGCTTATTTTGCTGAATCCTCTTGTAAAATACTGTCTCCATTCTAACCACAGCTACTGATGAGCATGAATGACAAGTTGTAACCCTGCTGAACTGCTATAAGTCTAGCCAATAGCAGAGATATCACTTGTTTATTTCATTCATTCATTCATTTTTTTAATTCAACAAATATTGTTACCTGTAACAATATGTGCCAGGCACTATGATAGGTTATAGGTTTAAAATGCTTCGGCAGCTTAATCAAGAGTAAGTATAATTTTCCACGAGGTTTTTAGACCCTGTTCTCAGCACCCTATCCCTGCCTGCTGGAAGGCATTCTGACCAGTGTGGTCTGTATAGTGACCCTCAATTAGTCCCAGGCAAGGCAAGCTATCTGTTCTAATCCTGCCCATATGTTTCCAGCCTTTTGTACGAAGTATTCTACTTCCTGAGCAATAATGATGATGAAATTGCAATATTACAGTGCCGCAGTTTATTAAGCGTATGCTGTGTGCCAGGCATTGTCCATGCCCTATCTTTTAATCTTCATGGTAACCCTATGAAGGATGTATACTTGTCCCCATTTTACAATAAGGAAACTCGGATTCAGAAAGGGTTTTGGTTTCATGACCAACAAGTGGTAGAGCAAGGATTCAAACTAGCTTTGTCTAACTCCAAAGCTAGTACCCCTTCCACCATTCTACCCATAGGCCCTCTTCCCCACTGATATGTCTATGGTATGGACCTTCTCTGGCCAAGTTTTGACCAGCCTGACTGGCCTTGAAATTTTGATGAAACAGCCAATCAAAGATCTTTACTCTGATCTACGCAGGCCTACCATGGCCCTGTTCTGCAGACCCACTTGGGGGATGGAGGACCCTTGCTTCCTCCTACTCCTTCTCCAGCCCCAAAGATGGGTGAAGAGTCGTGAGCACCTCCCTGGTCCCCCAACACACGATACACCTTTGCCCCAATGTTTTACCCCCATACCCCAGATTGCAGCCTGTTGCCGGGGCGCTTGCTTCCTCTGCCCATTCTCTATACAGACGGAAGGCTCCTCAGGAGCAACGGAGAAGATGAAGAAAGGGTTGTCTGACTTCCTAGGGGTGATCTCAGACACCTTTGCCCCCTCACCAGACAAAACCATCGACTGCGATGTCATCACCCTGATGGGCACACCATCTGGCACAGCTGAGCCCTATGATGGCACCAAGGTATTCACTGACAGTCTCCCCTACAGATGCCTAACATCTGTAACCTGGGCTTTAACTTACAACCTGTACTCACAAAAGCAACCCATGTTCAGGCCAAAAAATCAATATGGCTATATTACTAATAGTAAATCCAAAAATACCAGTAAGCAAGGACAAGTTAATTATTTTTAAACTCATAATTGCATCACCGAAAGAGAACCCCTGATTTCTTATTGGTATATAACCTTACTTTTGTTTTTGTTTTTAAACATAGGTAAAGATAGTTTGGTTTTTTCTTTTGAACAAAAAAGACATTTTATACATGCGGTTTTGTAACCTGCTTTTAAAAAACCAACAAACGTAGCATCTTTCCTAATCACCTTTTTTTTGTTGTTGTTGTTGTTTTTTTTTTTGAGACGGAGTCTCGCTCTGTTGCCCAGGCTGGAGTGCAGTGGCCGGATCTCAGCTCACTGCAAGCTCTGCCTCCCGGATTTATGCCATTCTCCTGCCTCAGCCTCCTGAGTAGCTGGGACTACAGGCGCCTGCCACCTCGCCCGGCTAGTTTTTTATATATATATATATATATTTTTTTTTTTTTTTGAGACGGAGTCTCGCTCTGTTGCCCAGGCTGGAGTGCAGTGGCGCGATCTCGGCTCACTGCAAGCTCCGCCTCCCGGGTTCACGCCATTCTCCTGCCTCAGCCTCCCGAGTAGCTGGGACTACAGGCGCCCACAACCGCGCCCGGCTAATTTTTTGTATTTTTAGTAGAGACGGGGTTTCACCGTGGTCTCGATCTCCTGACCTTGTGATCCGCCCGCCTCGGCCTCCCAAAGTGCTGGGATTACAGGCGTGAGCCACCGCGCCCGGCAGTTTTTTATATTTTTTAGTAGAGACGGGGTTTCACCATGTTAGCCAAGATGGTCTCCATCTCCTGACCTTGTGATCCACCTGTCTCGGCCTCCCAAAGTGCTGGGATTACAGCTTTGAGCCACCACGCCCGGCCCTGTTTTGTTTTTTTTAATGAGACAGGGTCTCACTCTGTCACCCAAGCTTTCTCTGGGGCTCAGTGGTGCAGTCACGGCTCATTGCAGCCTCGACTTTCCAGGCTCAAGTGTCCTTCCACGTCAGTCTCCTGAGTAGCTGGGACCACCGGCGTAAACCACCACATCCAACTAATTAAAAAATTTTTTTTTGGTAGAAACAGGGTCTCGTTATGTTGCCCAGGCTGGTCTCAAATGCCTGGGCTCAAGTGACTCTCCCACCTTGGTCTCCCAAAGTGCTAGGATTACAGGCGTGAGCCACTGTGCCCAGCCAGCCATAATTTTTAATGTCTTTAAATTCTTGCAAGTGAAAATAGCATTAATTATTCCATTATTTCCTTCATGTTGCATATTTGGATTCCTTTCAGCTTTCAAGCATAATAAGGAACGCTGTGGAGAGCATTTTTAGAGGCATAATCTCCACATTTGGGTTATTTAGACTAATTTCTAGTAATATATGTATAGGTAAAGGGAGAGAGGTGTCTTCAGAGCACTTAAAGCAACAGCCACGGTAGTGTATTTTTGCTGTGTTTTCGCATTTTCTTTTCTTCTTCTTTTTTTTTTTTTTTTTTTTTTTGAGACGGTCTCACTCTGTCACTCAGGCTAGAGTGCAGTGGCATGATCCCAGCTCACTGCAGCTTCAACTTCCTGGGCTCAAGTGTTCCTCCCACCTTAACCTACCTAGTATCCGTAGTAGCAGGGACCACAGGCATGCACTACCACGCCCGGCATTTTTTTTTTTTTTTTTTGTAGAGACGAGGTTTCCCTATTCTGCCCAGGCTGGTCTCAAACCCCTGAGCCCAAGTGATCCTCCTACCTCAGCCCCCTGAAGTACTGAGATTACAGGCATAAGCCACCACACCTGGCCACATTGTGTTTTCTATTTCATGGAGAGTTTTCTTCTAAATTTACAATATAATGTCATGGCAACTGGGGGCCCTCTTTGTAGTTTGTTCTTTTGAAATAGGGTCTCACTCTGTCCCCCAGGCTGGAGTGCAGTGGTGCAATCACAGTTCACGGCAGCCTCCATCTCCTAAGGTGCTCCTCCCACCTCAGCCTCCTGAGCAGCTGGGACTGCAAGCACACATCACCATGCCCAGCTAATTTTTATACTTGTAGAAACAGGATTTCCCCATGTTGCCTAGGCTGGTTTTGTAGCATTTTATCACATTGAACTTTTTTTTTTTTTTTGAGACGGCGTCTCTGTCTGTCACCCAGACTGGAGTGCAGTGGAGTGATCTTGGCTCACTGCAACCTCCACCTCCTGGGTTCAAGTGATTCTCCTGCCTCAGCGTCCTGAGTAGCTGGGATTACAGGCATGCACCACCATGCCCGGCTAATTTTTGCATTTTTAGTAGAGACGGGGTTTCACCATGTTGGCCAGGCTGGTTTTGAACTCCAGATCTCCAGCAATCCACCCACCTCGGCCTCCCAGAGTGCTGGGATTACAGGCGTGAGCTACCGCACCCGGCCCATGTTGAACTTCTGTTCCAAAAGTACTGGTTTTTCAAGTATGTATCAACAAGCACTAGTATTAGCACCACCACTTAGTGAACATGTGAGTGGAATTGTGAAAATGTTTGATAAGATTTTGAGCCATAATGACAGTGAATTGTCACCAAATCCACTTACAGACAGCCCATGCTTCCTGTAATACTGAGGAAGAAAGGCAGACTTCGTCTTTGCCAGCTAAGTTTGCCACCCTGTGGTTCCAGTGAGAACATAACTTGGTAGAGACTGGCTATACAATTAATAAATTCTTGAATGGTTTTAATTGGAGGGAAATTGTGTTATTTTAAAATTTATCCCTAAATTTTGACTTTATTAATATATGGGCACTAACATTTTTCAAATTTCACTACTACAAAGCATTTTACAAATACTTTTGTAGCCTGCTTGTGCTGTATTTTCTTAGCTCCTGGGGTAGAATACTGGGTGAAAGGCCATTTTTCTGGGAACCCCAGTTTTGGATGCCCAGCCTAGTGCTCCACTCTCCGTGCCACAGTGCTAATTAACAAGTGCCCTGGGGGTATCCCAGCCAACAAGGGAGAAGCTGGGTTGTGGTTGACTGAGTATCCTGGCAGAGAAAGGGTGCTTTCTATGCCCAGCATCTCAGGATTTCTGTTTCCTCTTCTCTGTTTCTTACAGGCTCGCCTCTATAGCCTGCAGTCGGACCCAGCAACCTACTGCAATGAACCAGATGGTGAGAGGGTAGCAGTGAGGGGGTGGGCTTGTAGGGCAAGTAGACTAAGGGGGTCTGGTTGTAGGCCCTGTTTGTCTCAGGTAGCAGAGGCCAGGCACCCGCTATGTAGGGGGACCAGAGTGAGACTAGTGTGTACCTTATACCGTGTGGATTGGGTTGATGTTCTCTTTTCTTTCCTGAACTTGAGCTGTCCTGCCCACCCTGCAGGGACTTGGCCCCTCTCATCCCTCATCCTTAGCTCAGCCTCCCTCCCAGCCCTGCTGCCCCACTTGCCTTCTCTTCAGCTTGTGTTGGCTAAGCCCCTGCCATGCAGCAAACCCCATGATGGAAACTGGAGATCAGAAATGAGCCAAACCCTCCACCTAGTCCAGCCCTCCAGGAACTAGCGGTTAAGAGGGAGAAAGCAGAAACAGTGAATAAAGTAGAAATACTAGAGAGCAGCATGACTGCTTCTACAGAGCAGCGGGACAGTGGGAGCCCAGAGGAATGGCACCTTTCCTGGTCTGGGAACCAAGCAAGTGATGCTGGAGTTGGGTTTTGTTTGTTTGTTTTTGAGATGAAGTCTCACTTTGTCGCCCAGGCTAGAGTGCAGTGGCGCGATCTTGGCTCACTGCAACCTCTACCTCCCGGGTTCTAGCAGTTCTTTTGACTCAGCCTCCCGAGTAGCTGGGCTTACAGGCACCTGCCACTGTGTCCGGCTGATTTTTGTAATTTTAGTAGAGACGGGGTTTCACTACATTGGTTAGGCTGGTCTGGAACTCCTGACCTCAGGTCATCCACCCGCCTCGGCCTCCCAAAGTGCAGGGATTACAGGCATGAGCCACCACACCTGGACGGAGTTGGAGTTTTAAGGTTAAATGAGACGTCAGTTAGCTTCACTATGAGAAGTGGGGAAGGGCATTCAGGCAAAGATTGCTGGGAGAGAGAGCAGGGAGCACCCCACCTTTTAGTAACGCTAGGTTAAAGGGTGCGTATGAGGAAGTGAAGGCAATGAGAGCAGCTCATGGGAGCCAGATTGTGAAGGGCTTGGTGTGACAGACCAGGCAGTTGGAATTTTGGCCTAAAAGGCTCACAGTAGTAGCTCTAGACCTCTCTTTAGTCACAAAGGCCTTTAAAAATCTATTGAAAATGACAAGCCCTCTCTCCACAAAACTTTTTGTGCAATATGGGAATTCTTTGACCCTTTGAAGCCCATCTTGGACTCCAGCTTAAAAAGACCTCCCATAGAGAACCAGTGAAAGTTTTTGAGGCCTGGGGTGATCAGAGTTTGCATTTTGTAAAGCAGCCCTTGGGGCAGCATTGTAAAGAATGAAATAGAAAGACAGAAGACAGGAAGACCAGTTAGGAGGCTAGGTAGGAATCCCGTGTCAGAGGTAAGGCCAAAACCTAGGAAGAGTCAGGTGGCATGGAGAGGACAGTGTGCATATAAAAGATACAAGTTAGCCAGGCGTGATGGTGTGCCTGTAGCCTCAGCTATTCGGAAGGTTGAGGCAGGAGGATCACTTGGGCCCAGAAATTCAAGGTTGCAGTGAGCCACAGTTGTGTCACTGCACTCCAGTCTGGTGACAGAGCAAGACTCTATCTCTTAAAAAATAAAAAAGAGACAACTGAGGAAGTGTGATCTAGAGTGATTGGATAAGGGAGGAGATAGGATGGCCCCCAGATTGGATAACCCTGTCAGATAATCAGGTGGGAAGGAAAATGAGCGCATGGTGTGTTTGCAGGTAGAAGTATCGGGGGTACTTGGAACTCTGGATCTGGGGCCAAGAGAGTAGCCTGGGCTGCAAAGAGAGACACAGTGGGAGGATGAGGTTGAAACTTATGGTTTAGTGGCAATTATTTTGGGGGGAAAAAAAGCCAGAGAGAGATGGAAAGGAAAACAAAAAACCCACAGAGACTCAAATGGACCAACCAGAGAAGTGGAGGAAAATAACAAAGGAGTGAGAAACCAGGAGAGACGAGGGCTTCGGGAGGAAGGCAGTGGCCCCCAGAGTCAGAGATGGTCACAAGAGGGAAGACAGAGAAATAGATGTTGGCTCTGGCAGCTGGGGTCATGTGACCTAAGAGCAGCTGTTTCAGAGACGAGAAGATTCAGTAGCCAGGTGCCATGGGCTAAAAAGCGAGCAGGGATATGAGAACATGGAGACTGCAGCCCCTTCTGGAGATCACTCAGGTGCACACCCGCCCCTTCACCCTGCCTGACCCCCTACCCTTGGCTAAGTGGCTTTGAACACACAAGCTTTCTTCATTTTCCATGTCCAGCCTTAGGTATATTCTGTAGGCCCAGTGTTCTTTCCCCAGACCAAGGGAACTGACTGTCAGCATCTGTCCCTCTGCAGGGCCCCCGGAATTGTTTGACGCCTGGCTTTCCCAGTTCTGCTTGGAGGAGAAGAAGGGGGAGATCTCAGAGCTCCTTGTAGGCAGCCCCTCTATCCGGGCCCTCTACACCAAGATGGTGAGGGCCCAGTCTGCAGGGCCTCAGCCAGCTCCAGGCTTGAGGTGTTGGGAGGTGGGAGGGACATGTTCAGAGTCACTGTGGCGTCATCTGGCTCGGAGAGCACTGGGAGGCTCCATAGAGCCAGACCAGCCATATCCTGAGCCAAGAACTCACATGGGAGAAGCTGGTTTGCCAGGCTTCTGGCAGTCAGAGAATGGTGAGAAATGAAAGGGCCAGCAAAGCCTGATGGGAGTTCTTTTCTCCCTCCTTGGCCAACCCGGACTAGGAAGGTGGGTCTGGCCGAAACTTTGGTCAGGGTGGAAGTGCTCTATCACTGCTAAGCCACTTACTGGGTCTGATATCCAGACTTGCTGGGAATAGACTGATAAGGGTGGGGACACAGACCCCACACAAATACTCCCAAAGTCTCACCTCCATTTTCCCCTCCCTCCAGGTTCCAGCAGCTGTTTCCCATTCAGAATTCTGGCATCGGTATTTCTATAAAGTCCATCAGCTAGAGCAGGTACGCTGGTCTAGCCTGGGGAGGTCCCCACTCAACCCTGGGGGAAGCAGGCTGGATTTATTGAGAGAAGAAAGGGATACAGGGTGCCAAGAGTTGTGGGATCAGGACCAGGATCTGGGAAGAGGGTGCCCTGACTTCCTGTGTCCATCTGCTCCCTCACATTCAGGAGCAGGCCCGGAGGGACGCCCTGAAGCAGCGGGCGGAACAGAGCATCTCTGAAGAACCTGGCTGGGAGGAGGAGGAAGGTACGAGGCGTTGAGAGGTGAAGGGCAAGTGACACATCTGTGTGGGACACTCTGGGCTGGGCCATGCTTTCTGAAGCCTGGAGAGACTTGGCGCCCATCAGGCAAGAGTAGGGAACAAGCACATTGTATGTGCTGAGGATAGGCGGAGCTAACAAGGAGATATTGAACAAGGCTAGTGGAATTCCGATTTAGCTACAGAAATCCCATGTGTCAGTTGGTGTAGATTCCCCTGCCAGCCCATGAACCAGCTGCCGCCTAGTCACTGGGGAGCTTCTTGAAAATCCAGATTCCCTTCCCCACCTTCTAAAGAAGACTGTAAAGAAGCGGCCAGACATGTATTTTAAACAAGCTCCCTGGTAATATTAATGCACAGGCTGGTTTGGGAACCACTGAGTTAGGGAGGGAGCTGAGCATCCTCTACCTGTAGCTCAGTTTATAACAGCACGTTGGAGCCTTCTGGATGATATAATATTAATGCATTTCTTAAGTGTTTACACCATATGTCGAGGCTGCACTAAGAGCTTTACACAGAGTCCTTACCACCACCCTATTACCCCTCTTAAGGATAAAAGTAAGTTAAGAGTAAAAGTTAGGTGACTTGCCCAATCATATACCTAGGATGTAGCAGAGCCCAACCTGAACCCAAAACTGACTCACTTCTGAGCCTTGGCTTTCTAATCCATAACAGCCCCTTGAACTGCATTGCTGGAAGCCCACCAGGCATTAGGCCCCAGGGCTGAGCAGGACTTTTGACTAGCAGGGAGTGTCTGCAGAAGCATTGTGATGGCAAAGGGGAGAGCTAAATGACACTATTGAGTCTTTTTTTTTTTTTTTTTTTCGTTTTGAGACAGTCTTGCTCTGTCGTCCAGACTGGAGTGCAGTGGTGCAATCTCGGCCCATTGCAACCACCGCCTCCTGGGTTTAAGCGATTCTCTTGCCTCAGCCTCCCGAGTAGCTGGGATTACAGGCATGTGCCACCACACTCAGCTAATATTTTTGTATTTTTAGTAGAGACAGGGTTTCACCATGTTGGCCAGGCTGGTCTCAAAAACTCCTGACCTCAGGTGATCCACCCACCTCGTTCCCACAGTGCTGGGATTACAGGCGTGAGCCACCGCGCCCGGCCCCAAGGTTGTCTTAGGGCTGGCCAGGGTACATTTCCCTCTTGCCCCTCCCTTTCTCTCTCTACAGAGGAGCTCATGGGCATTTCACTCACATCTCCAAAAGAGGCAGAGGTTCCTGTGACCAAAACTTCTACATTCCCTGAAGGAGGACCTGGCCCCCAGAGCCCCTGTGAAGAGAATCTGGTGACCTCAGTTGAGCCCCCAGCCGAGGTGACTCCATCAGAGAGCAGCGAGAGCGTCTCCCTCGTGACACAGATTGCCAACCCAGCCGCTGCACCTGAGGCACCAGTGCTGCCCAAGGACCTGTCCCAAAAGCTGCTAGAGGCATCTTTGGAGGAACAGGGCCTGGTTGTGGATGTGGGCGAGACTGGACCCCCGCCCCCTATTCACTCCAAGCCCCTAACCCCTGCTGGCCACCCCAGCGGCCCAGAACCCAGGCCTCCAGCCAGAGTAGAGACTCTGAGGGAGGAGGCTCCCACAGACTTACGGGTGTTTGAGCTGAACTCGGACAGTGGGAAGTCTACACCCTCCAACAATGGAAAGAAAGGTAGGTCTGGGCTGGGAGTGGTGCCTCATGCCTGTAATCCCAGCACTTTGGGAGGCCGAGGTGGGCGAATCACCTGAGGTTGGGAGTTTGAGACCAGCCTAACCAACATGGAGAAACCCTGTCTCTAAGTACAAAATTAGCTAGGCATGGTGGCACATGCCTGTAATCCTAGCTACTGGGGAGTCCGGGTCAGGAGAATCGCTTGAAGCCAGGAGGCAGAGGTTGCAGTGAGCCGAGATTGCGCCATTGCACTCCAGCCTAGGCAAGAAGAGCGAAACTCCATCTCAAAAAATAAAATAAAATAAAATAAAATAAAAAAAGGTGGGTCTGGAGGTCTAAGCCCATTGTTGTATGGGGTCAGGGCCACCTCCCAAGGCAGATTTGTCTCCTTGTCCCTTTTTAGGATACTATGAGCAGATTTTTTTCATTTCCAATAGTGATGACAGCTGCTATATATTGACTATTTGCTAACATGTTTCATTCTTTTTTTTTTTTTTTTGAGACGGAGTCTCGCTCTGTCACCCAGGCTGGAGCGTGGTGCCTGGATCTCAGCTCACTGCAAGCTCCGCCTCCCGAGTTGACGCCATTCTCCTGCCTCAGCCTCCCGAGTAGCTGGGACTACAGGCGCCCGCCTCCTCGCCCAGCTAGTTTTTTGTATTTTTTAGTAGAGACGGGGTTTCACCATGTAGGCCAGGATGGTCTCGATCTCCTGAGCTCGTGATCCGCCCGGCTCGGCCTCCCAAATGCTGGGATTACAGGCTTGAGCCACTGCGCCCAGCCACATGTTTCATTCTAAGTTGCACATTAATCTCTGAAATAAGAATGCATCTTAAATTGTTGGCATCTTAAGAGTCAACAAAACAAGTTTGATGCTAGATCCCATGCTACATATGTTATATGGCACTTAATTTCTCAGTATTACTGTCCTCATTTTACAGATGAAAAAAATGAGACCCAAAAATATTAGGTTAGGTAATGCCCAAGTTCACATGGCCAGGAGGCCCAGATTCAGACCCAGGGCTGTCTGACTCCAAGCCCGTGCCCTTAACTAGCACACTGTGCCAATTTCTATCTTTTTGGACAATTTAACCTTACCCTGGCTTGGAAATCCCAGTGACATTGATGTTAAAGGGTCTTCGTCCTGTGTAGCCTTAGGAAAGTCATTCAGTTTCCCCAGGCCTTTATTATTATGAAATATATAAACAAAACTCATACGTGCAGTTTAAAGAAGAATAAAATGAACATCCGGCCGGGCGCGGTGGCTCAAGCCTGTAATCCCAGCACTTTGGGAGGCCGAGACGGGCGGATCACGAGGTCGGGAGATAGAGACCATCCTGGCTAATATGGTGAAACCCCGTCTCTACTAAAAAAAATACAAAAAACTAGCCGGGCGAGGTGGTGGGCGCCTGTAGTCCCAGCTACTCGGGAGGCTGAGGCAGGAGAATGGCGTGAACCCGGGAGGCGGAGCTTGCAGTGAGCTGAGATCCGGCCACTGCACTCCAGCCTGGGCGACAAAGCGAGACTCCGTCTCAAAAAAAAAAAAAAAAAAAATGAACATCCATGAACTTACAGTGACCCAGCTTGAGTAATGGAGCTTTAGTTTCTTATCTGTATAATGGAATTTTAGACTGGAGACTCTGAGTTTATGTCAAAGAGCAACCTCTGTAACTGCAGGAATTAAAGGACAAGGATAGCCTTGGTGTCAGCCTTTTTACCACATCCAAAATACCACTTCAGGTATGGCTGATTATCACTAAGAACCGCCCCCCTCCCAGTCCCCCCACCACCTGCACACTTCACACACGCATCCTCCTGTCTTTGCTAACACTCAGCACCAGCCACAGCCACAAAGCTTGCCCGGCAGGTAAGGCCTGGCCTGCTGGCCCAGGAAGGGACTGGTTTGCCACAGTGGATGGGAAATGAACCCCACCTCACCTCTAACCTATTCCCTGATGGAAACCATGGAGTTTCCAGTCTCCAACCCAGTGCCTCCCTTCTGACTGATCAGTGAGGTAATCCATTGGGCTCCTACCTGGTTTTGTTTTTTTTTTTTTGAGGCGGAGTCTCACTTGTGTCGCCCAGGCTGGAGTGCAGTGGCGCAGTCTCGCTCACTGCAGCCTCCGCCTACTGTGTTCACTCCATTCTCCTGCCTCAGCCTCCCGAGTAGCTGGGACTACAGGCACATGCTGCCACACCCAGCTAATTTTTTGTATTTTTAGTAGAGACAGGGTTTCATTGTGTTAGCCAGGATGGTCTTGATCTCCTGACCTTGTGATCTGCCCACCTTGGCCTCCCAAAGTGCTGGGATTACAGGCGTGAACCACCGCGCCCGGCCCAAGCTCCTTCCTGTTCTTTATGAGACACTGAGTGGGAGAGGGGCAGAAGCCGCAGTCTTTGTGAGGGAGCATAAAGCAGGATGGGCCAGTCTGGTACTGGAGGAGTTCAGAGAAAGAAGGAATCTCTGGACATCTGTGTTGCTTCGCCAAGGAGTCAAGCCTTGTATAGGAGAGTTGACGAGTTTGGGGCAGGTGCAGGGGAGTGGTAGTCTAAGATGAGGGGGCCTACAAGGACCAGCTAGCAAAGGTCATGGGGCATGTTTAAGGGGTGGTGACCTAAACCCACTCTTCTGTATTCTCTCCCAGGAGAAGGAAGTACAAGAAGGGTGAGTGGGTTGACTCAGAAATAGAACTTCGGAATTTAAAACCTTAAGCTGGATTCAGAAGATTGGCCTTGGGGCCATAAAGCAGCAGAGCATGGATGCTAAGGGTGTGGGTTCTGGAGTTCAGACAGTTCTGGGTTCAAATCCCAACTTTGTTCATAAGCCATGTGACTTCAGAAAGATTACTAATCTTCTGTAAGCCTTTGTTTGCTCCTCTATAGACGGGATAATTGTTTCATGATAGATCCTCAATCAGAGCAGAAATTTAAGTAGAGCCCTGCTTTGGGGAAACGATAATAGAGGTAACATTCTCTGAGCACTTTCTGTGTGTCTAGCTCTGTGCTAAGCACTTGATATGCATGTTACTCAATCCTTACAAAAGCCCTGTGAGGGCCGGGCGCGGTGGCTCAAGCCTGTAATCCCAGCACTTTGGGAGGCCGAGACAGGCGGATCACGAGGTCAGATCATCGAGACCATCTTGGCGAACAAAGTGAAACCCTGTCTCTACTAAAAAATACAAAAAACTAGCCAGGCCTGGTGGCGGGCGCCTGTAGTCCCAGCTACTAGGGAGGCTGAGGCAGGAGAATAGTGTAAACCTGGGAGGCGGAGCTTGCAGTGAGCTGAGATCCGGCCACTGCACTCCAGCCTGGGCGACAGAGCAAGACTCCGTCTCAAAAAAAAAAAAAAAAAAAAAGCCCTGTGAGATCTGTGTACTTTTTCCTATTTTTCTAGTGGTAGGAACCTGAGATCAGTCACACCCAATAAATATTTCAGAGAGTATGAAATAGTCCTGTAGGAGAGGGAAGAGTAGGTGATGGGCCTGACAGGTATAATAGGTTTGCTGGGTGGATGGTCCCAGGGCCCTTGTGATTGTAGATTTTAAGTGAGACCATCAACCTGTTGTATTTTTGTTCAGTCACATTCAGTTGCTTAGGTGCAGGAACAGAGCAGATGGGGAGTTGGATCTAATTAGGTTCAAGTTTAGCCAGGTAAAATCAGTGGATGAAAAGAAGAAAGTCCGCTGGGCCTGGTGGCTCATGCCTATAATTGCAGTACTTAAGGGAGGCTGAGGCAGATGGATTGCTTGAGCCCAGGAGTTCAAGACCAGCCCTGGCATTGTGGTGAAACCCCATCTCTACAGAAAATACAAAAAGTTAGCCAGATGTGGTGGCACATGCCTGTAGTCATAGCTACTTGGGAGGCTGAGGTGGGAGAATCACCTGAGTGGGGAGGTTGAGGCTGCAGTGAGTTGAGATCGCTAAACTGCCCTCCAGCCTGGCTGACAGAGCTGAGACCCTGTCTCAAAAAAATAAAAAGGAAAGAAAAGAAAGTATATGCAAGAAGTGATAAGAATGATGGCTTATAGAATATGAGCTGAGTAAGGGAGAGAATGAGGGATAGTGAAACAGTTGGAGGGTTACAAATTATAGGTTTCATTTGGAATTGGGCTACAAAGGCTAATCAGAAAAAATTAGTAGTGGTTGGAGACTGGATGGAATTGAAATTATAGGAGAAGTAAACATAAGCTCTTAACCACTCTGCTATGCTGCCTCTACTGCCCTCGGGGCCTGTGAAAGGAGAGGCTGAGGATGTGCTACAGAAGACCCACCAGAAACAACTGTAGTCAGGTGGGAGGCAGCCAGAGTCTTGGACCAGGCTGGAACAGTGGGAACAGAGTAGAGGAAATAAATCTTAAAAGGAAGAAAGGGGGCTTGGAGACAAAGTAACTCCTTTTTCCTCTTGGGCCCACGTCCTAGGGTGATATAAGGCTTGGTCTCGGTTCAGCAGAGTCTCTTAGGGTGCCCTAGCCAAAGGGTTTTACTGGGTCCCAGGGTGATTCCTGTCATTGCAGAGCTGCTTCCCACCTACATTTTGTCACAGGATTCGTCTGTTCTGAGAGACTGGATTTCTTTCTGCACAGGAAGGGGCGAGAGATTGGGGCAGGCTTATGGCCTGGAAGGAGCCTAGAGGTTAAGACCTTACTTCATGACTGACTGTGTAACGTAAGAGCAGTATTGCCTCTGTTTCTTAACTGGGGAAGCAGAGGGCCAATTAAACAGAATAAAATGAGCTGTGAGTGACAGCACTACAAAGTTAGCAATCACCTGAAAACTTCCATTTTCAAAACCAAACCAGTAGAACTCCATCCTGAAGTCTTCAGTTGTAGCACAGGTCAGCTCTCTGCCACGTGCACATTGTGATGGAGGTCTTAGTGCTCTCCTTATGTGATAGGACAGGACGGTGGAAGGAGGCACATGGCAGAGAGAGCCCAGCTTCACATCTCCCTGTGCCACCTGAAGCCTTCGTTTCGTTATCTGTATACGGGGACTATTAACACCCACCCAAGAGGTAGATGTGGAATATTCCAGAAATGTTAGTGGATACTCTGTTCTTTACCCCTGAAAGGGTCTGCTGTAGCATTTAAGCCTGAAGAGACGGTTTCAAGTCCCTAGAGGGCAGCCTGAGGTTAGGGAAAGCTGTCATGGCCACAGACAAAGCCCTGAAGTGAGGAAGCAACCAAGAGTCTGGCTAACCCACAGGAAGCCTGTGGTGACAGCCAGATGAATGTCACTTAAGTGTCCTGAAGGCACAGAGAGATGTAGGTGCAGAGTCAGAAGAACTGGGTCTTGGCTGCCCTGACTTGCTGAGGTACCTTGTACAGAATGACTTAACTCTGAGACAAGGCCCTTAGAAGAAAGGCAGCACCATTCATTACATAGCCATGTATATATACGTAATAGGCACTTTATATGCATAGCTCTAATTCTAACACCATTGTTTCTCAAACTACAGGCCCAGGTCTACACAGAATCACACAGGTACCTGCTTACAACTTACAATGCAGCCTTCCCAGCCACCAGCTAGACCTGCTGAGTCTTTGTTGGGATCGGGGGTGGACAGGGTAGAAGTCTGCATTCTAATAAGCTTCTCCAGTGGTTCTTTGCAGAGGGTGCTTTTATCCATATTTTATAAATAGACTGAAGCCCACAATAATTTGCCCAAGACTACACAGTGAAGGAGTAGGTATTCAACCCAGGTCTGCCTGGCCCCAGAGACCATGCTCTGGCTGGAAGAGAGGATGATACAGGAAACCATATAAGGAATGTGGGAGCGGGGCTGAGGGGTAGGTCTCAGTGCTGAGGCATCTGGTGAGGAGTAGTCAGAGAAGAAGAAATGAAGATGTTTACTGGTCATGCCATTGGAGGATGAGGGACCCACTCTTTTTAAAGGTACTTAAAAAAAAGATTACAGGCCGGGCATAGTGGCTCACGCCTGTAATCCCAGCACTTTGGGAAGCCAAGGTGGGCTGATCACGAGGTCAGGAGATCAAGACCATCCTGGCTAACACAGTGAAATGCCGTCTCTAAATTAGCCAGGCGTGGTGGTGGGCGCTTGTAGTCCCAGCTACTCGGGAGGCTGAGGCAGGAGAATGGCGTGAACCCAGGAGGCAGAGCTTGCAGTGAGCCGAGATCGTGCCACTGTACTCCAGCCTGGGCGACAGAGCAAGACTCCGTCTCAAAAAGAAAAAAAAAAAAGATCACAAAGTAATATGTGTTCATTTTTGGAAAAAAATTAAGAAAAATCACCCCATGACCTCATCACCTAGAGATAACTTTGCTAGTGTATTTGGATATCTTGCTCATCTCTTCTGCATGTGTACATGCATTTGTGGGCTTTTTTTTTTTTTTTTTTTTGAGATGGAGTCTCGCTCTGTCACCCAAGCTGGAGTGCAGTGGCGAGATCTCAGCTCACTGCAAGCTCTGCCTCCCGGGTTTATGCCATTCTCCTGCCTCAGCCTCCCAAATAGCTGGGACTACAGGCGCCCGCCACCTCGCCTGGCTAGTTTTTTGTATTTTTTAGTAGAGACGGGGTTTCACCGAGTTAGCCAGGATGGTCTCAATCTCCTGACCTTGTGATCCGCCTGTCTCGGCCTCCCAAAGTGCTGGGATTACAGGTTTGAGCCACCACGCCTGGCCTGTGGGCACATTTTAAAGCTGGAATGATACTGTACATGCTTTATTGAAAGGAACTATTTGTGTAGTTTGCTTCTTAATAACTTTTATATATATACTTTTAATATTGCCTATAAGAAGTCATAGCCAAATATGAATGTTTAGAGCAATGATCGTCAAATAGTACAGACAGGCATCAGAATCACATAGAGCAGGGGGTGGTAAACTTTTTCTGTGTAGTACCAGACCATAAATATTTTAGGCTTTTTGGGCCATGCAGTTGAAATTACTGATCTCCGCTCTTGTAGCATGAAAGCAGCCATAGACAGTATGTAAACAAATGATGTGACATGGCTGGATTTGATCCATGGGCCATAGTTTGCCAACCCCTGGTTTACAGAAAGGGTCTGTGACTATTGAGTGCCAACTATGTGTTCTAAGAACTTGAAATACATAAGAGAACAAAACAAAAGATCCCTGCCCTCATAGGGCTCATACTCTAACTCCTCTATTAATAGACAATAAGCATATTAAGTCTGATTATGTAATATGTTAGAAGTGATCACTACAATGGAAAAAAGATCAATCCAGAGCCAGGCGTGGTGGCTCTCGTCTATAATCCCAATACTTTGGGAGGTCGAAGCGGGCGGATCAGCTAAGGTCAGGAGTTTGAGACCAGCCTGGCAAACATGGTGAAACCCTGTTTCTACTAAAGATACAAAAGTTAGCCAGACATGGTGGTGCGCACCTGTAATCTCAGCTACTCAGGAGGCTGAGGCAGGAGAATCACTTGAACCTGCGAGGCGGAGGTTGCAGTGAGCCAGGATCGCACCACTGCACTCTAGCCTAGGCGACAGAGTGAGACTGTTTCAAAAATAAATAAATACAAAAATTAGCTGGACGTGGTAGCAGGTGTCTTTGTAATCCCAGCTACTCAGGAGGCTGAGGCAAGAGAATCTCTTGAACCCAGGAGGCAGAGGTTGCAGTGAGCTGAGATTGTGCCACTACACTCCAGCCTGGATGACAGAGCGAGACTCTGTCTCAAACAACAACAACAACAACAACTAGAACAGAGTGAGGGTGATGATCGGTTGCTCTTTAGGATGGTCAGTGTAGACCACATCTAGAAGGTGAGATTTGAGCAATGGCGTGAAGGAGGTGACAAGTTGGTCTTGTGGGTATCTGAGGAGATGAGTTCCAGGTGCAGGGAACAGCCCATGCAAAAGCCCTAAGTTGGGAATGCGCCTGGTGTGTTTCTGGAGGAACAGGATTAGTATGGGCAGAATGGAGTGAGGAGGAAGAGGTTCACTGTTTTGGGTTTGAGGGGAGGTTTTTGTTTTGTTTAGAGACAGGGTTTTGCACTGTCACCAGTGGCATGATGATAGCTCACTGCAGCCTTGAACTGGGCTCAAGTGATCATCACACCTCAGCCTCCTGAGTAGCTGGGACTCCTCAGGTGTGCACTACCATGCCTGGCTAATTTTAAAATTTTTTTCTAGAGACAAGGTCTCAGTTCACTGTGTATTTCCTCTGGAAGATTTCTGTGACTCTTGGAGCCTCTGAGCCACAGTGCTTCTCCACTCTTTAGTAGCCTGCTTTTTCTGAGGTAATAGTTTAAGGCTGTTTGGCATGGATGTGAAGTTCTTCTCCAGCCTAACCTCTGACAGCCTATAGTGTTCCATCATGTAACTCACTATTTACTTGTCTAATTCCCTGTCAGTGGACTTTCAGATTGTTTCTAGGTTTCCGTCACTATGACAGCACTGCAGTGAACACTCTTTGCTAAATTCCTGACTGAATCCAGGATTTTTCCTTAGAATAGATTCTTAAAAGTGGGGACGAGGCGCCGTGGCTCACGCCTGTTATTGCAGCAGTTTGGGAGGCTGAGGCAGGCGGATCATTGAGGTCAGGAGTTTGAAACCAGCCTGGCCAACATGGTGAAACCCTGTCTCTACTAAAAATACAAAAATTAGCTGGGCATGGGGTCATGCTCCTGTAGTCCCAGCTACTTGGGAGGCTGAGGCAGGAGAATCGCTTGAACCTGGGAAGCGGAGGTTGCAGTGGGCCAAGATCGCACCACTGCACTCCAGCCTGGGCGACAGAGCGAGACTCCATCTAAGAAAACAAAACAAAACAAAAAAGTGGGATTGCTGTGCCAGAGTGAACACAGAATGTAAAGACTTGTGTATTTGTGAGACCCTTTTAAAGCATGCTATCTCCCCAGCTACACCCTCTTCAAGTGTCCCTTCCCTGCCTCCTCCTGCTTTTCACACTGTGGCTCGTGGTTCCAGGCTCAAGCACAGACATCAGTGAGGACTGGGAGAAAGACTTTGACTTGGACATGACCGAAGAGGAAGTGCAGATGGCACTTTCCAAAGTGGATGCCTCTGGGGAGGTGAGTGGGCCTGGTGGGTCAGAGGGACGTGAGCCTAATGGTCCTGGATGTGAGAACTCTCCCCAGCCAGCCCAGCTGTCCCCTCAGGAGGGTCACTGCTCCTGTCTGAGGTGATAGGTTGTGGGAAAGGAGCTGGAGCTTCCTGCTCAGATCCACAACAGTGGTCATCGGTAAGCTCCACTTCCCCTCAGTTCCAGGGTAGATAGAGGGGAGAGTTCTTGACATTAGCTCTGTATTAAAATTGCCTGAGAAACTGCTTAAGAAAACAGATGCCGTGCTGGGCACGGTGGCTCACGCCTGTAATCCCAACACTTTGGGAGGCCAAGGTGGGAGGATTGCTTGAGGCCAGGAGTTCAAGATCAGCCTGGCCAATATAGTGAGACCCCATTTCTATTTTTGAAAAAAAAAAAAGACATCAAACCCTACCTGACCTTCTGAGTTGTGGTCCCCAGGTATGAGGCCTGAGTATATACTTGGCCTTGGAGACAAAAGACCAGTGTGATCAAGGGCAAGTTACTTAACCTAAGCCCCTGGTTCCTCATCTAAAATATGGAATTGATTATTATAAGACCTGGCTTATAAGCTCTAATGAGGTGATCCATGTAGACACCTTAGGGCTAGTGCCTGAGACATGGTGGCACTCAGGAGACATTAGTGATAAACCCCACAAAACCCATTCCAGTTATTCAGCTCAAAGAGGCCTTAGTACTGTTATTCTTCACTACCTCTCAGAATCAAAAGTGGCTCATTTAGATTCAGAGGCTGGAACAGTCCAAAGCTCTCCCAGCTAATTAATGACAGGACTGAGGCTGCAGCCCAGATATCTGATTCATGTCAGCATTACTTCCACTGTCACATAAGAACCACATGAGTCCTTCCATTGTGTAACTCATGAGCCTGTTAGAAAGAGGTGGACAGATTAGAGAGACCTGTGAAGGGCCTCCTTTTTCATGATGGGAAACTGAAGCCTTGGGGGAGTATTTTATCTACAGGAGTATTTTGCACTTGTGACTACCTCACTATACTCAGGACAGAGAAGGCCTATAGTGCCCTGTCAGGCCACAGGGGCTTGCTGGCTTTTTGTGTCTTTGCAGCCCCCTTTAAAACCTGATTGCAGTACACCTGAGCATTCTAGAACCTCTTATACCAGGGCTTAGCCGACAGCAGGCCAAGAGTAGGAACAAAGCAAGAAAAGGTTCTGTGGGGAGACTTGAGCTGGGAATTAGGGTGTTGGTGCCCCTAGTGAAGACCTAGTGGGCACCTGTAGGCCATTGCCACCTCTGTTTTTAACCATAGTGCCACTCGGAGAGTGGCCCCCATTCACCCAAAGGCTAAGTAACTTGCCCTTGATTACACTGTTCTTTTGTGACCAAGGCCAAGTATCTGCTCAGGCCTCCTAAGTTATCTGCATCTCAGAGCCATGGCATTATCTGCTCAGCAGGAGGCAAGTTCTCCTTAAAGGACTGGGGCTGACTTGGTTCCTGTAGGCAGCCATCACCTTGTGGTGTCTGGTGTTGGTTGGCGGAAGCATTTCCTTTAGGTCTGAAATAATCAGAGCAGCAGGCCCACCCCTCAAGCAGAGGGCAGCTCTGCCCCTCACACACATTCCTTAAGACTAGGGATTCACTCTCAGTAGGGGGCAGAGTATGGCCTAGGGTAGGGGATAGGAGGTGGCTCTGCTCAGCAAGGGGAGGTTAGGTCTGGGCCTGACTCAGGAGTAACTGTGTTTGTGATCTCCATTACCCCCTCCCATTTGCAGCTGGAAGATGTAGAGTGGGAGGACTGGGAGTAAGGGAGCCAGAGGGAGCAGCTCCCCACCCATGGCATCTCTCGCCTCCCTCGTTCGTCTCAGCCCAGCCCTGGAAGACTCTGAGAATGTCCCCCCAAATCTCCTTTGCCAACCAGAGCTCTGGGCACAGATTCTGGTGGCTCCCTGCTGGCCCTCTGGGCCTCTGCTCATGCCTGGAAAGGGGCTCTCTAAATCCCGGCCAGGAACTCTGACTTGTGCCAACAATAGGATGACCCGAGGGAGAGGAAACCTATCCCCCGTCACCAGAAGAGCCTGTGTTTTTCTGCCGAACACCCACTGTTCCTGAGGACTCCTGCTGGGAAGTCCCAAGGGATAGTTCCAGCCCTTCCGCCTGTGTAGACAGAAGCTAAACCACCAGTCTCTCGGAGGAAGCCGAGACAACACACACTGTCCACCATAAGCAGGCAGGGAGGGCCTCGCCACCTACCCTTGGCTAAACAGGGACAGCAAACACATTTTGGTTCCTATCCCAGTGGGTAAGATGCACTTACCTCTGGGAAATTTGCCTCTCCTCTCTTGGGAATCTCCCCTTCCCAGGCATTTTCCATTCCTGGAAAGGCTCCTTTGGGGTTCAGAATCCAGAGACCAAACCCTGACCCACCTCCTTCCTTTCCTCCAGCCCACGCTGGTCTGTCCCTATGCCTTCCCAGGGCTTCTTCATGTCAGATGCACCCAAGTCCTTAGCCCAGCTGTGCCACCTGCAGGAGTTCGCTCTTGCATTTCTTCCCCTCCCCAAGAAGGGAGGGGGCCACTTGAGGCCCTTCTGTGTGTTGCCTGGCAGGATACCTTGTCCAACCAGCTACCCACCTCAACTCCCCTGTAGCTTAGGACACAAAACAGCTACCAGCGGTACAGAGCGGTGATCACAGCCGAGTACTTACAACTCTGGTAAGCCTAGCTTCTCCGCCTCAGCCCTTCTGCTTCTGGAAGGGCTATCCTGGGGGTGAACTTGAAACTCTCATCAGGCTTCTGCAAAAGCTCTTCTCCCTGAAGACAGACCCAGCCTTTGCACTCTCACCCTCCAGTCTGGTAAAGCTGCACCTCTGGGGGGAATGAGGGGCTGCAGGAATCTCTGGAGAGCCTGGTGCTTCACGATGCTGCTCTGATGATTCTTGTACCTAATCTGGTGTGCTCACCAGCGAGTGAAAGGGATCGTGGTCAGGGACACCGAGAGAGTGGGGTCACTTCTACTTCAAACCTTCAGTGAGGGGGTGGGTTGGAGAGAATGCTGAATCTTTTTTTTGACGGGATGGGGTTTTTCTCTTTGTAATTATTTCTTTAGTTTAATTAACTTTTTGGTTGTTTGTGCAATATTATATATTTTAAATTATAATGCATCTCCCCAGAGTATTTTGTAGCTGGGAAAAGAAAAAAGGAAAAAAAAAAAAAGAAAAAAGATTCTAACAGCTGTTAGTTTTATAATTAAAAAAGAAAGAAAAAAGAACTTTGTCCTGAACCTTTTACAGACTTGCCGTTAACAGCATTAAAGTGATTCAACCAAAGCTGGAAGGTGTCTGGGGTCTGTTTTCGTCCCCTTGGCAGCTGCACTGGGCCAGGGCAGGACTGGCTTCCCACTTGGAGCCAGAAACAGGGTAGAGGGATAGCCTGGGTCCAGAGGACATCGCTTGTCCTCATCCCAGATTCAGCTTTGCCTTTGGGATGAGAAAGGGACAGGGCTCCCCACAGGCCTCTCACTGGGACAAGGAGTCGGGAGGCCATCTCTGCACTCCCGACACCTCTGCTTTTCTTTGGAAAGGAAGTTGCAACAACAATGGCTTCAGTTGTTCTTGGTCGTTTTTCTCCTCTCCTCCCCGTTTGTATATGATTCTGGGGTCTATTTTAATTAACTTTAGTATGAAAATCACTTGTCAGACCAGGCATTGGTGGCTCACGCCTGTAATCCCAGCACTTTGGGAGGCGAAGGCAGGCCTCCACTTAAGGTCAGGAGTTCGAGACCAGCCTGGCCAACATGATGAAACCCCATCTCTGCTAAAAATACAGAAATAGCCAGGTGTGGTGGTAGGTGCCTGTAATCCCAGCTACTAGGGAGGCTGAGGCAGGAGAAACGCTTGAACCTGAGAAGCAGAGTTGCAGTGAGCTGGAATCGTGCCACTGCACTCCAGCCTGGGCGACAGAGCAAGGAGGAAAAAAAAAAAAAAAAGCAAGTCTGAATGAGGCCCTTTGATTCCATGAAGATCTCTAAAAGGAAAGAGTGGTAGTAAGGCTCCGGTAGATGTAAGTTTTAGGATAAGTAAACTTAAGGCGTAAAATATATATCACCATTTTAGAAGCGGATTTTTGGGTTTGCTTTCTCCCCCTACTTTATTGGGGAGCACTTGCCATTGCTTTTATCAAGTGCTTGCTAGCCATGGATGCCAACTAACTTCTTCAATTGAAGGCCGGAGGATCATGTCGGGTTCCAGGAGCCTCTTGAGCAGGTCCTGGCAATCGGCCGAGATGCTCAGATGAGTGGGGAAGGACACCCCCTTCTGTTGCTGCCACAGCATCTTGGGGATGTCTGTGTCGTCAAAAGGTAGGCTGGCACAGAGCATGACATACAGGACCACACCCATGCTCCAGACATCACCTTTCTTGCTATCATGGGGAATGCCCTGCAGCACCTCAGGGGCGGCATAGGCTGTGCTGCCGCAGAAGGTCTGGCTCAGCTCCCGGCGCGACTTGGGCAACACCTTGGCAAAGCCAAAGTCAGTCAGCTTCAGGTTGAAGCCCTGCAACAAGGCGTTCTCACATTTGAGGTCCCGGTGGGCCACACCACAGCCATGGCAGTAGCGGATGGCCTCAACCATCTGACGGAAGAGGGCCTTGGCCCGGCTCTCAGGCAATGGCCCCCCATTCAGCACGCAGTCAAAGACATCCCCTCCCTCAGCCAGCTCCATCACCAGGCAGATTTTCCCGTCGGCAGACTCCAGCATCTCATACACCTGGATGATGTTCTTGTGTTCCAGGGTACGGACAATTTGGAGCTCCCGAGGCAGGAATCTCTGGATAAACTCTGAGGAAGTAAGGGGAGGAGAGATGGGCTGGCAGATCAGAAAGGCCCACCTCCTCACACCTGTCTCCCGCCTTCCAACTTCTGCCCACTTTGTCTGGGTCTTATTTCTTGGCTCCCTTAATGGTCTTAAATGTGTCTAGCTGCTTGGACATTGCAAAGAATGTTTACTTCTATTATTTTTGTCATTAGTGTATCATTCAAAAAAGAACCACTCCCACCAGCCTTGTGGACTGTTGAGCAGTCTGTGAGACTGGATATCAAGGTGCTTTAGGTGCTTTTAGACAAAGCCACAGAATCACAAATTAGGCCTGATTTGTCCACAGGCTGGTGAGCCAGCTCCTCCCGCCGCTGTCCCCTGACCCCATAGTTCTTTCTATGAGCCCTGTCTTCCTTTTTCCCATCTCCACGGGCCTTGGCACCAGCCCCTGTTCTCTACTAGCCCTGGCTGTGGCCTCTGCCAGTCTCTGTTCCCCTGCCGGAAAGGAAAGCCTGGCTCAGGTTTTGCCTCTGAGGATCCTTTACCTCATGCCACTTTAATCTTGCATTTTGGGGGGTGTAATGTTCCTGGACTCCCAGAATCCCTCTGTTACCCACTGACCCACTCCAGAGCTGCCATCCGGCTTGCTTGGTTCCAGGCCAGTGGGCGCAGGGAGTGATCGAATGATCTTTTCAACAGGAGGAAGCACCCACCGCCTTCAGCCAGCCCTCCTTCCCTCCAAAGGGGCCCCAGCTCACCTTCTGGCCCTCCCATCTTGTCTATAACTTTAATTGCCACTTTTCTTTGGTGTTTTTTGGAAAATGCTTCTTTGACTTTTGAGTAGGTCCCTTCCCCAATGGTCTTGCCCAGCTGGTACCCATTGGAGAGCAGAAAGTCCTCCATCCTGTCTAGCGCCTCCTTCCTATCACCCTCTCAGCTCATGCTGCCTCTGCGAGGCAGCTCTACTCCACCATCGCCTTTGGCCTGCTCCTTTTCTCCCCAAGGACTTCATCCGCAGCCACCCCCAGCGTTAGAACATTGTCTGGACACAGCCGCGGGTGGTGGGGAGGGAGAGGGCCAGACATTTTTAAGCTCCGGCGCAATTGTGATGTAAATGCTGTGTGACCCTTGGCCAAAATGGGCAGTGCCCCTACCTGCCCTCACTACCACCACCAAACCCAGCCCGGATTAAGTCACCGCCGAGCCCGCCCCCGCGCCAGGCACTGAGTCGTAGCCCCGTCTGGGAGGGCGCTCCTCGGCGTCTGTGTGGGCCGGGAAGGCTCGGCTCCTTGGCGTGGACGCCGCCTCGCGGCGGGTTGCCCTGGCCTGCTGCGCCCCCATCGGGTGGCTGGGGTCTGCGCTACCCCGTCTCCAGGCGCCATGGCCAGATCCCTCCAGTCCCCGGTTCCGGCCCGCGCTGAGTGCCAGGGGCGGCCGGGGGCGCCGTTGGGGGTTCTCCAGTGGGAGGAACGGGTTCTGTGAGGTCAGCGCGCCGCGGCCCGGGTCACAATGCTGCCCTCCTCGACGCCCGGGTCCGGGCCCGCCGCAGAGACCTGCCCGGCTCCGCCTGGACCGGAGCGTTCTCCCGCGGCCAGGGCTCGGGCAGCTGCTTCCAGCCTGGGACCGGTCTCAGCCTCCGGGAGGTGAGCGACGGCCCAGGGGGCGGGCGCGAGGCGGCGGCGCCCGGCTGCCCGGGAGAGGCCTGACCGCCACTCCCCGCGCAGAGCGCCCCGGGGCCTGGACATGAGCGCCCAGGAGCCCCCGCAGGGTCGGAGATTCCCCATTGAGGCCGGAGACTCCCGTGGCCTTGCCGCCTCCCCCGAGTCCCAGGACAGCCCGGAGGCGGTAGCGACGGAGCACAACCCGGTCAGGTGAGGCCCGCGCCAACCCCCTCCGCCCGTCCCGCGGCCCCGCCCTCGGTCCCACTTGGCGCCCCCAGCAGTCAGGTCCCCGCATCCACGTCCGGACCCCCGGGGACCCAGGTGCACTCCCTGGATGTGCCCCACAGGATGGGCCGGGCCCCCGCCTCAGTGCCCCCTGTCGCGCCCCGCTTTCCCCAGGCCGCTTCGTCGCTGCCCCGGATGCCACTGCCTGACGCTGCTGCACGTGCCCATCGACGTCTACCTGGCCATGGGCGGGAGCCCCCGGGCCCGCGCCACGTGAGTGCGCCTGCTCCCTGCGGCTCCGCGGGAGCTGGGCGGGAACGAGGCCCCCCCGCGGGCCACCACGCTGAGGTCGCATGCGCCGAGCACGAGACAATGATGCACATTTTAAAATAAATGATGCACATTTTAATAAAGCACAGCATAAACTGTTCTTTCCACTCCGGGCTGGCAGTGTATGTCTATCCGTCGGGCCCACCAGCTGCTCTGTCCAGTCCAATAACACTTGCCCTTCCGCGGCCTCCTCGCTTGGACACAGCCCCAGGGGCCCGCCCTTCCACCTTTCAACCTATGCCACTTCGCTCCTCCCATTTTTTGCTGGGCAGCCTTTCCCCTGGGGCCCTGCCCTTGTCCGAGATCTCTCTAACCCTCTCCTAGTTCTCTGGTGAAATTCACATCACTGTGCTGGACCCCGGTGACCCACAGAAGTGGGGGACAGGAGGGAGAGGTGGGCCGACAAGTAACATAGAATACAGCCAGTGGCCACCCACACCAGGCCCATTATTTATTTATTTATTTATTTATTTATTTATTTATTATATATATTTTTTTGAGACGAAGTCTCGCTGTTTCCCAGGCTGGAGTGCAATGGCGCGATCTCTGCTCACTGCAACCTCCGCCTCCCAGGTTCAAACAATTCTCCTGCCTCAGCCTCCCTAGTAGCTGAGACTACAGACGCCCCACCAGGCCCATTTTAATCCTCTCCAGCGAGAAGATGGTTCTGGGACTTGCTCTTTGCGGTCCTAGGCGCCTGGGGCCTTCCTTGTTGGAAGGGTTTGGAGCTGCCCTAGTCCATCCTGAGACTTGGTTTCTCCTAGGACAGAAGGGATGATAAAAAGATTGGGGGAGAGGCCATTTGAAAAACCTTGGCTTGCCGGTCATGCTGGCTGACGCCTGTAATCCCAGCACTTTGGGAGGCCAAGGCAGGTGGATCACGAGGTCAGGAGTTTGAGACCAGCCTGGCCAACATGGTGACACCCCATCTCTACTAAAGATATAAAAATTAGCTGGGTGTGGTGGTACACACCTGTAATCCTAGCCACTCGGGAGGCTGAGGCAGGAGAATCACTTGAACCCAGAAGGCAGAGGTTGCAGTGAGCTAAGATCATGCCTCTGCACTCCAGCCTGGGCAACAGAGCAAGACTCTATCAAAAAAAAGAAAAAAAAGAAAGAGAAAGAAAGAAGTTGGTTTAACTTCCTATTTTACAGATGAGTGAACTGAGCCTTTGAGACTCAGTTCCCCCAATGAGAAGTGACACTAGCACACTCCTTGGCATCCTCAGACCACATGCCCTAAGATCTACCCTCGGAGGGGCCCATGACAGGAAGCCTGCCCGGAAGTGGTAGTATTTAAGCAACTATTTTCTACTTTCCAATTTTGCTTTAATGAGCCCGTATATTCTGCTTTCCAATTTTGTATGGAGGGAGTGTAACCTAAAGGTTAGGTTCAGTCTCCTGTACCCTGAGATCTAAGGACAATTAATTCAACACCCGCATCTAATCCTCATGGGGTAGAGAAGTCCAGACTCTCCCTACAGCACCTTAGAATTCCACAGTCACCCAAAAGGGATACCCTTCTCAGTTTCCACATAAAATGCTGTCCCAGGCAGTCCCCATGTAGGAGGCTTATTAAAAGGGCCTATTTCCTCACTGTTTTTTTTAATTAAAAAAAAAAAAAAAAAGGCATCAGCTGGTCTCTTTGGACTCTACCAGCCCCCAAATAGTGAATCCTTCTCATTCTTCCTTTTTTTTTTCCCCCATCTCTCCCACTGCCTTTCTCTTGTCTTCTCAACCTTCCTTTCCTAAAAAAAAAAAAAAAAAAATAGGCCAGGCATGGTGGCTCAGGCCTGTAATCCCAGCACTTTGGGAGGCTGAGGCACAAGGATCACTTAAGCCCAGGAGTTCAAGACCAGCATGGAAAACAGCAGGATCCCATCTCTAAAAACGAAACAAAACCCAAAAACCAGGTATGATGACATGTGCCTGTAGTCCTAGCTACTGGGGAGCCTGAGGCAGGAGGATTGCTTAAGCCCAGGAGTTTGAGGCTGCAATGAGCCAAGTTCACACCACTGCACTCCAGCCAGAGCAACAGAGTGAGATGCTGACTCTAAAAAAAATTAGAACGGGTGCGGTGGCTCACACCTGTAATCCTAGCACTTTGCGAGGCCGAGGCGGGTGAATCATAAGGTCGAGAGATCGAGACCATCCTGGATAACATGGTGAAACCCATCTCTACTAAAAATACAAAAAAAAATAGCCAGGCATGGTGGCAGAAGCCTGTAGTCCCAGCTACTCGGGAGGCTGAGGCAGGAGAATGGTGTGAACCTGGGAGGTGGAGCTTGCAGTTAGACGAGATCGCGCCACTGCACTCCAGCCTGGGTGACAGAGTGAGACTGCGTCTCAAAAAAAAAAAAAATTTAGAACCAGTTACTGCCACGTCCCACATGCCTGATTTGTGAAGGACACAAAGATTCTAGACGCAGTCCTTGCCAGTGGGACTAGTTAGCTCTAGAATGTCCATGAGCAAGGGGAAGGGCACTCCCTTTGGGGAGGAAGCATTGTGGGTAAAGGCCTGGAGGCAGGAAAGTGAAGGACAAGTTCAAGAAACTCAGTTCATCAATTTTCGTCAACACCTTCCTGGGCCATGGCTGGTACTGAGAATCCAGGCCTGAATTTGACATCATTTTCCCTTTCAGAGCGTAGAATGCAGGGGATCCAGGAATGGGTTAATAGAAGAGAAGCTGGATCAAGGAGACCTTTGCATACCAGGTGAAGGAGTCTGAATTTTGTTCTGCAGGCAGGCAGAGTATGACAGGTTCCTAGCTGGGTCACTTCACTCTCCTGTTTCTCTTCTCTTCCATCCTGGTCTCTGTTTCTTCTTCCTCCTTCTCACTGGAAAAGCCACTGGCCAAAACTAGTGCTGAGTTCAGGTCCTGACTCTGTTTTTTTTTTTTTTTTTTGTATTTTTTAGTAGAGACAGGGTTTCACCGTGTTAGCCAGGATGGTCTTGATCTCCTGACCTCGTGATCCGCCCACCTCGGCCTCCCAAAGTGCTGGGATTACAGGCGTGAGCCACCGTGCCCGGCCCTGACTCTGTTTTTCTAACTGTGCAATCTTGAGCTAGTTACTTAGCCCCTCTGAGGCTCCATCTTCAAATCTGTAAAGTGGGGTTAATTGACACCTGGTGGAAAGTTTCAGCAAGGACCTGTATGTATAGCATCACGCAAGAATCACTGCCACAGCTACCACTTGATAAGCAAGAGAGACTGCTATGGCTGCTGCTCCTACCATTGGCTTCAAGGGGCAGCAGAGAGCCAGACAGCCAAAGACACTGTCCCCAGGGGTTGGGTGATGTCCAGCCCTGAAGAGGGCTGAGGAAACCCTCTTGTCTCTCTCTGCCAACTTCCTAGCAGTTCTGTTCAGGAGCCTAAGAACTTGGTGGGGGGATTGGGGGCAGGGGAATTTCCAGGGGAATCCCCAGGTAGCAAAGACAGAGCTGCCTCCCTTACCCTAAAGGGTACATCTGTCCCCAGACCCCAGTGCAGAACCCAATGTAGATCCCAGCCTTACTCTCTGGGCCTGAGGAATGGGGAGGGGCCAGGCAAAGGGGGATGCTCGAATCACTGCCTTCCCTGACTTCTTTCTCAGACACCTTATTAGCCAGCCCCTCCCTAAGGGACCCCCTTTTAGAAGGAGGGGGCGAAGTACAGATGGACCCCCCAGGTTACCATGGAGACAGCAGGGAAAGGGTTGCTGTATCACCATGGCAATAATTGACGTCAGTGCTACCCTTTCCCATCGCTTGATATGAGAGGGGGACAGCCACCCCAACCACAAGCAAATCCCCCACAAATCCTCCTCCTCTTACTGAGCCAATCAACCAGGGGGGTCGCCAGACTTAATATAGCACAGGAGTTAAAAGCACAGACTCTGATGTCAGTCAAACCTTGGTTCAAATCCTCACTCTGCCTCACCCTAGCCGTGCAAATTTGAGCAAGTTCCTTAACCCCTTGAAGTCTCATAGGTGGCATGGGGATAAATAAGCTATGTGCCTCCAAGGATTACATGAGGATGACATGGGATCATGCAGGGAACAGGCGTGGGGTCTGCCTCACCCGAAGTGCACATTGGCATTAGGGACAGTCAAGGATCCTACTCACCACCTTGGGACTTGTCAGGGGATTGTGGACCTCCTGATACAGACTCACATCCCCTAGAGGGCCCCCAGGACTTGTAAGGACTGGGCCCCAGGGTTTGAGCATCTCAGGATTTGGGGGTCTCAGAGTGGAGCCGGAAACAGTGGAATTTCCAGGCTCTGAGGAAACCCCAGATGCCACTTTCCCTGAAACCTCATCACATCGGGACTCGGACCCAGCTTCCCCTTCTCCTCCCCTCTGCCTAGTCCTAGGCCTTATTAGCAGCCTTCTACTTCTTTTTTTTTTTTTTTTTTTTTTTTGAGACGGAGTCTGGCTCTGTCGCCCGGGCTGGAGTGCAGTGGCCGGATCTCAGCTCACTGCAAGCTCCGCCCCCCGGGTTTACGCCATTCTCCTGCCTCAGCCTCCCGAGTAGCTGGGACTACAGGCGCCCGCCGCCTCGCCCGGCTAGTTTTTTGTATTTTTTAGTAGAGACGGGGTTTCACCGTGTTCGCCAGGATGGTCTCGATCTCCTGACCTAGTGATCCGCCCGTCTCGGCCTCCCAAAGTGCTGGGATTACAGGCTTGAGCCACCGCGCCCGGCCAGCAGCCTTCTACTTCTTAGGGGCCTCCATCTGCTCCCCTAAGAAAAAGGATGGGGTGCCCAGGCATGGTGGCTTACGCCTGTAATCCCAGCACTTTGGGAGGCTGAGATGGGCAGACCTCTTGAGGTCAGGAGATTGAGACCAGCCTGGGCAACATGGCAAAACCCTGTCTCTACCAAAAAAAAAAAAATTGCCAAGTGTGGTGGCACATGCCTGTAGTCCCAACTACTTGGGAGGCTGAGGTGGGAGGATCACCTGAGTTTAGGAGGTCGAGGTTGCCGTGAGCCAAGATCATGCCACTGCACTCCAGGCTGGGCAACAGAGTGAGACTCTGTCTCAAAAAGAAAAAGAGAGAGAGAGAGAGAAGAGAGAGAGAGAGAGAGAGAGAGAGAGAAAGGAAG